TTTGTGAAAACATTCTTGATAGGTATCAACGATGCAAAATTCAGCTGAATGAACTAGAAGAAAGCGCTTTTGGACGAGTCCAAGGGAAAATGAGAGCTATACAATGCGAACTGGCTTCTTCGACTACAAAAGAAACTAAAATAACTGAAGTGGCCAATATTTTCCCAACGACTCTCGAGCCTACATCGGTGCTGTCTGACACGATCCAATTCGTCGAGAAGGTTTTTAATATTTCTGCAACCATGGAGGAAACTATAAAAGTAATAAACAATGAATTTTCCTCAAGGTTGGGTGTTGGGTCGCGAACTTATTACGTCAATGCCGATGATGCACTGCTTTGTGACCCCATTAATCACAGTGCCGCTCCACTGAATGATACTACCGCTGTGGGCAGGAGTGCCAGTATAATGAGTCCCTATGAACTTGATAGTACTATATACCTACCGCTGGTTGTCGATGGTGCTCTGGTTGGGTGTATTGAATCTCCTGAAGGTTGTCTAAAGAGTATTGATATTTCATCCATGGCATCTATGCTACGCATTGCAGCAGCAGCTCTCCGCAATGCCATTCAAGCGAGTCGACTACAATGGGAAACCCAAAAAGCTGAAGCAATGGTAGCCATGGCGACACGTCTCGCTCGCGACACTCTGGATGAAACTGTGTTGGTCCAGTCGATCATGAGCACAGCGAAGGAACTGACTGAGAGCGATCGCTGCAGTGTGTTTCTAGTTAAGGAAGATGGCACGCTGGAGGCACACTTTGAGGATGGGAGTATCGTTGGCATGCCAGCCGATGCTGGTATCGCTGGATATGTCGCACGGACTGGAAGTACTGTTAACATCCCAGATGCATATAAAGACAATCGCTTTAATCGTCAGGTTGACAAATCGACTGGCTATCACACCAAAACGATCCTTTGCTTACCAATCATGCATGAAGGCTCCATCGTGGCGGTAGCACAACTCATCAATAAGTTGGATTTTGTGACGGACAGTGGACTGCATTTACAACGTACCTTTGTTCAGCGCGACGAAGAGTTGTTTGAAACGTTTTCTATGTTTGCAGCTGCCTCACTACGCAATTGTCGTACCAATGAGAACTTATTGAAGGAAACTAAGAAAATTGAAGTTATCCTCGATGTTGTGACGCTTCTGTCGAACACGGACATTCGGGATGTGGACAGCATTGTGCAACATGTGCTGCATGGTGCGAAGCAGTTGCTGAGTGCGGATCGTTCTTCACTGTTTCTACTGGATAAAGAGCGCAATGAGTTGTACAGTCGTATGGCGGACAGTGTGAGCGGCGGTGAGATTCGTTTTCAATGGGGCAGGGTATCGCGGGTAAGGTAGCAGCGACGGGTATAGGTGAGAATATTACAGATGCATATCGTGATAGCCGTTTCAACCGCGCTGTAGACAAGAAGCTTGGGTACCGCACGCGATCTATACTTTGTGAGCCTATCATTCTCAATGGCGATGTACTTGCAGTAGTGCAGTTAGTTAACAAGCTGGCTGAGGACGGAGAGGTTACGTCTTTCTTTGAGGAGGACCGAAGCACCTTCAAAATATTTTCTCTCTTTGCAGGCATCTCTATCAACAACTCACATTTGCTGGAGTTTGCTGTGAACGCAGGCCGTGAGGCTGTAAAATTGAATGCATTGCGCTCCGGCATGCCAATCGTGACTGAGAAGGTCGACCTGCTTTCCATTACTATTGAGGAGCGCGAGCACGTACTGAAGGAGGTTGTTGTACATAATTACGATCTTGCCTCTATCGATTTTAACATTTTTGCAGTTCGTGAAGCGGCCACAAATCCTTTAAACGCCGCTGCTTTTGTTGCGTATAATCTCATTCTCAGCACTGGACTGCCACAGAAATTTAACTGTCGTGATGAGACCCTTCTGAACTTCATTTTACAGTGTCGCAGGAAATATCGAAACGTTCCTTACCATAACTTCTTCCATGTTGTGGATGCGTGTCAGACAATGCATACATACTTGTTCGCGGGTCGCTCGTGTGACTTTCTGACGGAGCTGGAGTGCTTTGTGCTCCTTATTACCACATTGGCGCATGATCTCGACCACATGGGTCTCAACAATAGTTTCTACCTTAAGACGGAGTCACCACTCGGTATCTTGTCGAGTGCCAGCGGCAACACATCGGTGTTAGAGGTGCACCACTGCAATCTCTCTGTGGAGATTCTTTCCAATCCTGAGTGTGACGTGTTTGAAGGTCTGCAGTCGGATGATTTAAACCACGCGTATCGCTCCATGATCGACTGTGTGTTGGCAACCGACATGGCCAAGCATGGCGAAGAGGTGAATCAATTCGTGAGTCTTATGTCAAACGGCTTTGATCGTAACGATGAGCGACAACGTCGGAAGCTAATGGAAATGCTAATGAAGGCTGCTGACATATCAAACGTTACAAAACCGTTTGAGATCTCTCGGTTGTGGGCGATGGCGGTGACTGAAGAATTTCACCGCCAGGGTGACATGGAAAAGGAAAAGGGAGTGGAGGTGCTTCCTATATTCAATCGGTCTCTGAACACTGAGCTAGCCAAGGGCCAGATCGGCTTCATCGACTTTGTGTCCGCCAAGTTTTTCAATACCCTTGTGTCGATGCTATGCCACGACATGCAATGGTGTGTAGACCGTATTAACAGCAACCGTAAGTCATGGAATGCCCTTCTGGTAGCCAAGTGATTTATTTATTTTTAACTGATTGTCCCTTTAAATTGTTATGTTCCTACTATTTCATTTTTTTATGGAGCTATCATTTATATATCTCTTTTAATTAATAAAATTTCTATTAACATTTTTTTTTCTATATTCAAGTATTCTTTTAGATTGTGTGGAAAGAGCTAATTCTGTAAAGATCTTTCTTCATTCTGCTAAAGTTATATTATTCATATATAGTATTGTCCTTTTTTATGTAATCTTATTATTCTTACAGGGTATTTGCCTTGTTTATTTTTCTTTATATGTATCTTTTTTTTTCAAATATTATTCTCCCTTAATTTACCTATGTAAAGTTTGATAGATTGTAGTTAAAAAAATTGCTTTTTTTTCTCATTCTTTGTAGAATTAACAAGACTTTTACACTACTGAAGTTATTGTTAGTGCATCGAGTATGTAAGATATATATATTTACTCTAAAATTTAAACTGAAATGTGCGACTCATCGTCGTATTTATTATGACTACTTTGTCTTATTTTCATCACTTAGGCTTGTTTTAATTTGTGCTTGTTCTTTATACTAAAAATATTCACTACTGGAAGATTTAGATTTCGGAATATTACAAAATTTACCAATTAAAATATTTTCAAGCATTAATATTTTCCTACAAAAAGAAATGCCTTGTGAAATCAGCGAGAAGGCGTTTCCTTTAGCCGAAGATCGCCTTAGCCAAACAGTCCTTGATCTTGTCCAGGAGGCAGGCAAGCTCAAGATGCTTAAAAGGGGTGCAAACGAGGCTACAAAAGCACTGAATCGTGGCATAGCTGATTTGATTGTACTCGCGGGTGACACCAACCCAATTGAAATTTTGTTGCATCTTCCGCTTTTGTGTGAAGACAAAAATGTGCCGTACGTCTTTGTGTCATCAAAGACCGCATTGGGCCGCGCTGCACAGGTGTCGCGTAATGTTGTGGCCTTGGCAATTCTTCAGAACGACAACAGTCCATTTGCTTCTTCGGTTCAGAAAGTAAAACTGGAGATTGAAAGACTTTTATAAAAATGACGCCTGTGATAATATTTCCTTTATTTTATCTAATCATAAGCATAATTTTGTATTTTTGTGAGCATTGTAGAAACATTTTGATGAATTAATTATAAGTCCTTCCAACAGATTAAAGCTAGATGGAGGTATGTTCAAGCCCACTTAAATGCAATTTACGATAACAAGCTGCATAATACTTATTTTTCGGTCTTTGTTCACTACTACTGCGCTCCCTTTTATCACTTCCGGGATCTTAATTTTTGCTTCAAATTCTATTTGCTACTGAGAATTCGCTTCATTTTACTTTTACTCTTCTTCAGTGTTAGTATTTCTTAAAGACATCTATCGTTATTTTTACTCGAATCTGCACGATCGCACTCACAAATCAAAGCTATTCTTTTAAGCCTTTGATTCGGAGATTTTCTTTGATAACGTGTTGTTTAATTTATTGAAGGTGGAATATTGACTCGTTTAGATATGCGATGTGAAGCATTGTGCAGGGGATTTAAAACTTTGCGCACTGAATGTGCGCGTGATCCTTGTCTAACAAAGGATATGTGTAAGGTGTTGAATCCTTCTATTACAGATTGCTCCACTTGGTGTTGTATAAACCGCAGCATTTATGCCTTTTTCATAGTCTTTTTTGTTTGCATTGGCATATTTACATTGTGTATCGGGCATTATTTAAATCGGTTGCACAAAAAGAATATGAATACTGGTACAGTTATGGAGACTGGGGAGGTTATAGAAATGAAAAACCTACTCGAAGTAGAGGGGTCAGTGACACCTTATCGTCCCAAACGCAATACGAAGGTTGACCCTCAAATTCTAAAAATTTTAGAGGCAAATGACAACCAATAGAAACCTAGAAGGATCAAAGGAGAAGAAAAGTCTTGAAAGGAAGGGTAACGCTATTTCAATTTCAATCCCTGTGGGTGTTACGTCCTTCTGTATGTCAAAGCAAAGTAACTATTGCTAATATAATACAGGTGCTAGAAAAAAATTTTGTCAGATAATTGGTCATTTTTGGTTCAGCGTTTTCTCCCTAAGATATTAATTATATAAGTAATTTATTCACATCCTTTCTTTTCTATCCCCTTAAGTCTATTATTTTAATTAGATTCAAACGAAAGTGCAAACAATTTAAAACAGCATATCTGTATTAATTGTTCTCGTTTTCCTTATATTTATAACAATTTATCATTTTTCAATTCAATTATGCGTGCCTCTGCGCCTGGGAAAGTGCTTATCGTGGGGGGTTATCTTATTGTCCAGTCCCCAAACGTGGGTATTTCTATAGGTGTCAACGCTCGCTTTACAACCCATGTAGTATCCTTTTCTTCTTCGGTGTCGCCAAACATCACCACCATACATATTTTTTCACCGCAATTTAACCAGAACTTTACTTTTACTTGTGTCACAGACAAGAACGTTGTTACAGCAAAGCAATCGGAAGGCCCCACATCACACTTCTTATACTATGCAGCCCTATTTGGCGTGGCAGCTGCACGCCTTCTAGGTAGCGATGCAGGCCAAGAGCTGCACCTAGAGCTGCTCGCTGATAATGACTTCTACAGCCAGCGTAATTACTTAGAGACGCACAACGAGACCGTAAACGTTAGCAATTTGCGTCAATTGCCTAAGAATCTACCTCTGGTTGGTAAGGTTTCTAAGACTGGACTAGGATCGTCCGCAGCGATGACAACAAGTATAATTGCTTGCCTGTGTAGTCACTTCCATCAATCGAACAATGTGAAGCTGGAGCTTATTCATCGCGTCGCGCAGATTGCACACAGCGTTGCACAGGGGAAAATCGGCAGCGGCTTTGACGTCTTTACCGCAGTCTATGGGACTTGCGTGTACCGTCGTTTTCCTGTTCGGTCTGTCGAGGCGCTTGTGAAGAGTGTGGAGTGGCCCGAAATGGTCTCTGTTTCCGAGTTATCGCAATGCATTGCACTGGAAACTGAGTGGGTTCCATATGAGCCCTTTCATCTGCCCCAGGGTCTGAAACTAGTGCTTGGAGATGTTCACTTTGGTGGCACCAGCACGCCAGGGATGGTAGGAAAAGTTATGACTTGGCTAAAATCTGTATCAGATATGCCATCTAATTTATGGGAAAAACTTCGGGAAAACAACAAAGCCTACGTCCAACAACTGCGCGCACTCTCTATGCAATCCAGTACCTGTTCTATGGAACATCAGGTTGCTCTCAGTGTTTTGCAGTGCGTTCGTATGGCTGAATACAAACCTACAAACGAAGCAGAGGAAAGAATTATAAGCGCATTCAAGCTGGCTGCTGCAAATCGTCTCTATTTACGTGAGATGGGCATCGCGGCCGGAGTTAAGATCGAACCTGAAGAAATGACTGAGCTGCTGAATGATACAGCTTCACTCCCTGGTGTTTTCGCAGTTGGCTGCCCTGGTGCAGGTGGATACGATGCAGTTTTTGCGCTCGTTATTGGAGATGCTAACTGTTCTGTCGTCGAACAGTTCTGGGAGAGCTACACAAAATTGAATGTATGCCCCCTTCTGGTTCGGGAAGACTGTGGTGGCCTATTGATCGAGACCGTTTAATTATAGTGGGGTGTTTTGATGTGAAAAAACGGAGCCCTTGCATGAATTTCTATATACCATTTTATTGTACTATAAAAAGAAAAAAGTGAAGCCAGTGTAAAGAACAATGTACGGAAGGCATTTCTAAATGTCAAGAGGTCGGAGAACTCGTTCTTTACCTTTTTTTTGAATTTTCAACTTCTTACAACGAAGTGAATTCTCTCTTTTTTGTGCTGTCTCTGCTATTTTTTTTTTAGATTCCCTTTTGTTTTATCTGTTCAAAACTCTTTGAAAACTTGGATTAATCATTAAGATAACGCAATAACAACAGTGATACTTTCTAAGCTCAGAGCCCAAACCGTACAGTCTAACAATTGAGAAAAATGCTTGAGGCCCAAGTTCAGCTTGCTAGCCTGTGGAAGCGGTTGGTGGAATGCGTCAATGGTTTAGTGAATGAGGCTAACTTTGACTGCAACCCTGGTGGCTTATCGATACAAGCGATGGACACAAGCCACGTTGCTCTAGTGCATATGCTTCTCCGTGACGACTGCTTCATCAAGTACCAGTGTGAGCGCAACAGCATCCTAGGTCTTAATCTTGCTTCACTCTCCAAGGTACTCAAAATTGTCGATAGCACCGATAGCCTTACGCTACGTCATGATGATGACTCGGATTTGGTAACGCTGCTTTCAGAAAATGCCGAAAAGACGCGCAAATGTGAGTATCAACTTAAGCTTCTAGATATCGAGGCAGAGGCCATGGGGATTCCTGAACTGGACTATCGGAGCACGGTCACTCTCAACTCCAATGAGTTTGCAAAGATTGTACGGGATATGGCCATCTTTGGAGATACTGTTACGATCAGTATCAGCATGAAAGGTGTCAAGTTTAGTTCCTCCGGTGACGTTGGGCAAGGATACACTTTTTTACAGGCATCTGGTTCGTCGCTCCGCCGTCCCAAACCGGAAGTCAAGTCTGAAGTCAAAGCTGAGTCTAATGAGGATGGGGAGGATGAAGTTCCGCTATCTCGCAAGTATAAACAGGAGCAACAAGCTGCAATTGGAGTTGAAGTGGAGATGGAGGAACCCATCACACTTTCTTTCGCTCTGCGATTCATGAATATCTTTGCAAAAGGGTCAAGTCTCAGTGATCGCGTGACGCTGAAGTTTGCCAGGGACAGCCCATGTATGGTTGAGTACAGTATCGACAACGTCGGATACTTGCGCTACTATCTTGCACCTAAAGTTGACGATTCTTAGTAAGTACTTTTCCTTTTTCATACCACGCTACTTTGCCTGATCGGCGCTGGGTACCTCTGTTAGAGGCTCCATAGGACGGTTTTTACGCAACCCTCTCTTTTTTTTTTAAATTGGATAGATAAGATGAAAATTCAGCAGCGAAAGGTCAAAATTTATAAATTCTAAGGTTTGCGGAGATTTTTTTTAAAAAGTTTTCCTCTTCCCCTCTCTTTCCCTCTTAGCATTTTTTTTTAACCATAGATATAATAACACTGATCCTGAGAAGGATGAAAAAATTAAGTGCTCTTCGCTGCTACTCATCCACTGAGCGGTGCAAAGGAGTCGCATATCAAACCTCCTAGTTGCACTTTATTATTTTTCAAATTATAAATGTTGCGAATATTATCTCCTCTTCTCCCTTATACTCTTTATTTTTAATAAGCTTTTAACTTTCTTAATTTTTGAGGCCCAAGTTAATTTTTGCATCAAATTATTTTTTTCTTAAAAAGAAACTTAGTTATTGAATTTATAAGTATATATATAACCCTTTTTCATTAACTAATTAATTTATAGTAGTATAGAGTATTTTAAGTAACGTTCCGACGTCTTTTAACAGTATTTCGAGGAAGAACTTTAGTACCAGTTATGAGTAACACGTCCTCACCAACACTTGATACTAAGCGTGACCTTAAGTCTCTTCAGACAGGTCGCCCTGTCCCTGGGTATAAGAATACACCGGAATTAATTAAGGCACATTTGGCCAAAACAGGTGGCAAGCAATATTTTAGGTTCCCGCCCGAGCCCAATGGCTTTCTGCACATCGGCCATGCCAAAAGCATGAACCTTAATTTTGGGAACGCTAAAGCCCACAACGGGAAGTGCTACCTTCGCTATGATGACACTAACCCCGAGTCCGAGGAGCAGATCTATATCGATGCCATTCTGGAGATGGTGAAGTGGATGGGCTGGGAGCCGGACTGGGTTACCTTTTCCTCAGACTACTTCGACCAACTGTACGAGTTCGCTATCCGACTTATCAAGAAGGGCAAGGCTTACGTTGACCACAGCACGACAGAGCAGGTGAGGCAACAACGGGAGTTGCGTGAAGAAAGCCCCTGGCGTAACCGTCCGGTGGAGGAAAACCTACGACTATTCAAACACATGCTCGAAGGCCGGTACAATGAGGGTGAGGCGGTTCTACGTGTAAAGTGTGACATGAAAAGTGATAATCCCAATATGCGCGATTTCATCGCCTACCGTGTGAAGTACACAGAGCACCCGCATGCGAAGGACAAGTGGTGTATTTATCCAAGTTATGACTATACTCACTGTCTCATTGACTCGCTTGAGGATATAGACTACAGTCTGTGCACTCTGGAATTCGAGACTCGTCGGGAGAGCTACTTCTGGTTGCTGGATGAACTTAATCTTTGGCGTCCGCACGTGTGGGAGTTCAGCCGCCTTAATGTCACAGGGTCGCTCCTTTCCAAAAGAAAAATCAACGTGTTGGTGGCGAAAGGAATAGTGCGAGGGTTTGACGATCCTCGACTAATGACGCTTGCAGGAATGCGGCGACGTGGGTACAATCCAAGGGCCATCAATAAGTTCTGCGATCTCATCGGTGTCACTCGTTCCATGAATATTATACAGATCGTCAATCTCGAGAACACCCTCCGCGAAGACTTGGATGAACGCTGCGAGCGCCGACAGTTGATCGTTAATCCCATTAAGGTGGTTGTGGACAACTGGAGTGGTGAAATGGAGGTTGAATGCCCTAATCATCCGCAAAAGCCGGAGTTAGGCACACGGAAAGTTATCTTCACTGACAGCTTCTACATTGACAAGAGCGACTTCCGACCACTGGATAATGACCGAAAGTTCTACGGCCTTGTTCCAGGCCCGCGGGAAGTTGGTTTGAAGTACTGTGGCATCATCACTTGTACTGACTTTGAATGCAATGAGGATGGGACTCCTCACATTATTCATGTCAACATCGACTTTGAAAGAAAGATCAAACCAAAGACTAACATCACGTGGGTGAGCACGAAGCATTGTGTACCTGTGGAGTTCCGTTTATATAGCATGTTACTTAAGGATGATCGTGCTGCCGTTGACCCAGAGTTCCTGATGTACATTGATGAAAATAGCGAGAAAATTTTACACGGGTTCGCAGAGAAGAGTGTGGAATCGATGAAGGTTTTTGAGACGCTCCAGGCTGAACGTTTCGGCTACTTTGTGGTCGACCCTGACACGAAGCCCTCACATCTAGTGATGAACCGCATCCTTGGTTTACGTGAGGACAAACAGAAAACGCAAGTTAATACTTATGAGATAAATGGCGATGAAAGTAAAAAGTTATGCGATGTAGAACATAACCTTTAAATTTATTATGCTAAAAAATGATTCGGCGGTATTGATTACACGCACATAACTGGAAAAAATTTCAATAAATATACAACTTAATCATTCATTTCAGTTCGGTATACTGTTTTACATATTCGTCAAGAAACACATATGGATGGAAGTACAAAAAATCTCAAGACTTCTAGTGCATTTAGCGCTATCACTTTTAATAATCTTATTCAGCTTCCCATACCATAATCTGACGCATGTCCCTTTTTTTTTTACATTGCATACACTCTGATACTATTTTTACGGCATGGAATGCGCAAAGACCATTTTTAAGCGCTTCATAAAACGCGCGGAAGTACCGCTCAATCAAGTAATTACAGAGCTCACCTCTCAATCCATAAGAATAATCATAAAGGAGAAGGAACAGAAACACATATAAATTAAGGCTTATAAAAAACACCTGAATCTCAGATTAGATTGTCTGGCCTATCAATAGCAGTTATTTTTTTTGTGATATATAAAGAGTTTATTGATGAGCAGCAAGCGAATTCGTGTTGAAGAAAGTCATAAGACCGTGGACCATGCTATTTGGCTTGTCTGCGGGCGCAAGGCTTTAAAAGAAGAATACGAAGGAGCTTCATTAACACCTCTAGAGAAGCAAGTAGTATCACTACGCGAGAGCATTCCTGCGAATGCGCTTTTACTTGTGGCTTGCGGCTATCGTGTGAAACTTTATGGACGAGACAGCCACGTAGTCAGTCGTCGGTCTGGCATAATGTGTATTCGATCGAAGCCTTTTGAATATAGCAGCGTTCCCTACGTGCGAGTGGAGCTGTATATTCGCCGTCTAGTTGCTATGGGATATCATGTCGCTTTTGCAGACCAAGAGTCCGCCGCGGTGCGGGCTGTGGAAGGGGTAAAGTGTGGCATCTTCCGGCGTACGGTCTCGCACTTGTACAGCCGCGGCACGCTCCTTCCTGGGGAGCAAATCGTTTCTCAGAGCACCGGCAACGGGATTGATGAGGCGGCGATACCCGAAGTGGATGATGAGGAATCAAGTTCGTATAACGCCAAAGACAGTTGGGAGGATGATGTAAACGCGGAGAAAGGCGACCCTTCTGAGCTTTTCATGTGTTTCATCGGTCTATCGACTACTGACACGTTTACCCCCATGACTTCAGTTGGTGCAGAGATTTTGCAAGTTCTCCTTGTTAGCTTTGTCACACGAAGCCGCAAGGTTTTCTTGGTATCTTCCGCCTCTTCACTGGAGGATATCGTTATGCAGTTTGACATTGTGGAAGTCATTGTTGTAGAACAAGGAAATAATAATTTACATGACAACCAGGGTAAAGATGCTGGACATATGCGGGGAATCCCCGAGAAGTACACTCGTATTTTACAAAATGCACTACTCTTGAACTACGGGCCAACTTTAGTAGGGGAAGAGGACGGAAAGTGTGTTAGTGTCAGTGTATACACTCAAGAAGAGGGAGAATCATTTAATTCCGCAATTACAGCCTACCTAAAGCCATATAAACTAGACAAAATGTATCAAATGATGTGTGCCGAGTGCGACCCCAATTCTGGAAAGGGCAAACCCAGAGGTGGTGGTGGAAGCGTGGCGTTGCAAGATGGTGTTTCCGATGGCACGAAGTCTGTATTGCGACTTCCAGGGAGCACCTTACGTGCATTGGAAATATTCCAAAGCTCTATCGGCCATAAGGGGTCCCTCCTCTCGTTACTTGGCCACTGCTTGACACTGCAGGGTGCGAGAACCCTAAGATTGTGGTTGGCAGCCCCACTAGCCAGTCGATCCGATATCATGGAGCGTCAGTCGGTTATTGCTTATCTTCTCGAAGGAGGTGAGAAGGATGCCGTGCAGAACCTTCTCCGTGAATGTGGAAAACTAGGTGATGTTGAAGCGATTATTGCCAAAATACACTCTCAGCGCTGCACGGTGCTTGAGTATTTAAGACTGCTCCGTATGTCTCGTAATTTATATGCTGGGGCTAGTGGTATCCTCGCAAGTTCCACTCCACCGACCCTGCTAGAGAGCCTCCTCCGATCTGTGACAACCCCTGCATTGAAGAAATTTCTTCATGAGCATGCGGCTGAGATGGATTTCTCCGTCACAGCGCCAATTCAACTTTTCACCGGGAAGGGCATTACGGTTCCTGATCCACTGAGGAAACATTTAGAAGACTTTAGCAGCGCACAGGAGGCCTTGACAAGGGAATTGGAGAGGGTCCGTGAAGTTCTCAGACTTCCAGGTCTTGAGTACCGTACTCTTGCTGGCACATCGTTTGTGATTGATGTTCCTAGTGCAAAAGCCTCTCACATCCCAGAGGATTGGATCGTTCTTACACGAACCAAGAGTAATGTACGCTACCACACACCGACCATTGTCCAGGAAAATCTCTCTCTTTGCGCAGCCAAAGATCGTCTTGCGGCCACAGCAGCAACACTGTGGCAACAGCGCCAAGAGGCGCTTTGCCAACCTGGCGGTGACTTAGAAATGCTGGTTGGCGTAATCAAGGCAGTGGCTGCAATGGACGTGCTGTACAGCCTCTCGGTGGCCTCATCGGCGACCGGCTACATTCCTCCTCAACTAGTTGAAATCGCAGAAGTGGAAAAACAACGCGACGGTGCAGCCATCTCAATCGTTGCAGGCCGACATCCGGTCCTCGATCAGTGCTTGACAAACGGTTATGTAAGCTGTGATATGCATTTGTGCGTTGGAGGCACTTGGTTGCTGACGGGCCCTAATATGGGTGGGAAGTCAGCGTTTATGCGGATGGTCGGTTGCTTTGTGGTGATGGCACAATTAGGAAGCTACGTTCCCGCGGAAGTGGCGACATTACCTGTATTCACTGGTATCTACTGCCGAATGGGGTCAAGCGACGCGATTTTGGAGGGAAACTCTACTTTTTTTACCGAGATGGAGGATACTACTCGCATTTTGCGTGCCCCAGAGCTTGCCCGTTCTCTTGTGTTCATGGACGAGTTAGGTCGCGGTACAAGTAGCTTTGATGGATTCTCAGTGGCTGCTGCAACTTTAGATTATCTGGTGAGTATGCACGCAACTTGCATATTTGTCACACATTACCATCTCCTTTGTGACCCATTTGTCTCCGGTAGCCTCAGATCAGATAGATTGTCATCCATAGGGAATTCCAAAGTTCATCATAGTGTCAGCTCTAATCCACTAGTAGAATGCCACTACATGGGGTTTCGGATGGAGAATGAGGATTCAGCTTCATCCAACAGTTCTAGTGCTCATAAGACAACTTCACTGGAGTCCGATAGCCAACGTGTGATTTTCACCTACAAACCATGCCCTGGTGTAACGCCTTCCAGTTTCGGCGTCGAGGTCGCGAAAATGGCGGGGCTACCCGACCATGTAATAAAGGAAGCGAGAATAATAAGCCTGAAGGAGGAAGAAACTCAATCGTTGCGAACATCTGTACATCTCTTGCGACAATTACTGGAGTAGCTTTTGATATGTGTGCCTTTCTTCCATAACGTATTCGTTGGCCTTAAGTATCCTAACGTAGTTGCGCACGAGATTTTAATGACGTCTTAGTGACATTTTTGTTGTTTAATTTCATTTGGTTTTCTTTGCGATTGCCTCATAGACTATGTTTCTTCAAATCTTGTTCTATATATATATATATATATATATATATGTATTTGTTGACTTATTTTGATATGAATGAATAATAGTCATTACAGCACTGACTTCATGATACCCCATAACCTATTGAAGCATGCGCACTTAGCGTATTTTACTTAGGATTAGAAAGGTAATATTATTTAGTTTTCTTCAAGAGGTGTTAAAATGGCTCACCTTCTGAGAAAGGTGAGCAGTCCTGTTGTCTATATTATTTCCAGCTATGTGCTACTGTTTCTCTTTGTGTGGGACTATGCCAATTCTTATCAGGAGTTTTTCTCAACTGTTGTCTCACTGGAGAAGTCAGCGGTATTCTGGATTTTGCTGGCCAATGTCACAGTGGCTTCTGTGTTACTGCTTTGGTATTTTCTTGAGACCCTATTCTTTGGCACTATGACACTCACAGAAAGCACCATCGTCTACAATGCATTCGCCGTCGACTTGTTCGAGTGTGTTCTCGTGCCACTGTACGTCGATTATTCGATTATGAATTTATTCACTGTTATGACCTTGTTTACGTTAGTTTTGCAACTTTTGCATAGGCTTGCCAAGGAACGGGTGACAACTATGGGGGTTATCTCAAATCGCGTTACAAAGATCAAGTATTTCATCCAACTGCAATTCTTTATCCTTTTCGCGGCATCTATAGACCTTTTTGTGATGATCTGCTTCGCACGTCTTGCATATATGCAAACATCTCAGAAATTACTGTTATACTACACCGTATTTACACAATACTGGCAAATGTTCCTTGTTACATTTAGAATCGCCATCTTACTTTGTATCGGGTTTTACAAAAGCGAGAGAACACCTCTGACATTTTACACAGAGGGTGTCCTCAACTTAATTGAGTGCACTAGCTCGATCGCGGCCTTTTCTTTTATTTGGATTCATACCGAATTGCCATTTATACAAGTTCGAACTTTCGTCTCGAGTATATTCCATACGATCAAGTGCATGAATGATCTTGTTCTCTTTTACACCATGCAGTCTAAAATTAAAAAGTTCTCTCGTGTTGTTGCACAGGATTTGGAATGGGATTCACGATGCACTATTTGCTATGATGATATAACAGTTGACAGCGGGGCTAGACGGTTGCCATGTGGACATTGCTACCATGAAAAGTGTCTGACTCAATGGTTTGAGCAGCATAGTACATGCCCATACTGCAGGGCAAACCTCCTCAACTATCCTTTGAAGCCCCAGGGGCAAATGCCGCATCCGGAGGCACCTGCACCACCGGCCGTACCAGAACCACCGCCAATGACGGAGTCCGCCACCTCAGATAAATATCTTCAGGGGACTGAAGTATTAATGGAAATGCTCGATGTTCAACTTTCGAAGGTTTCTAATGACGAGAGAAACCAGAGAGACAAGGTGCTCCGTGAATTTTACCATATGCATACCAGGTATAAATCTCTGGAACAGGAGTTGAATGATCTGGATAGAATTAAAGAGGAGATCGATTTCTTATCAGGTATTCGAAACCTCCAAGACCCAAATAAACTAAGAGATGACCCTGGAGCGAGTCCCAATATTGAGTCAACTGAAGATCAGGCACCCGTCTCCGCGGCTTCTTCAAAGGATATGAAGAAAATAGACAACACCAACACTAATGTAGTTCAGTCCCCAGAGACAGATGGGAACTCTGATCTAGGTCCTTGGATGCGTTTGGCTGCATTTCAGAAGTATCATAGGCGTTTGAAAGATGCACAAGAAGAGTTAAATAGCACTCTTGAATCAATAGATGAGATAGAAGCTCTTTCAAGCTAACCTTTCGTATACCAATGTTATTATTATTATTATTTGCGTACTTTTAGGATCCGGAAACTTTGGCATGGTGTTAATTTGAGCTAGAATATTCTTTGATGCATAGTTCTCGATCCATCAATAGTTAAGTAGGGTTAATTTCGCTTCCGCAGTTTTAAACCTTTAACTTCGCCTCCTCCCCCCATACCCTCGTTAATTAAATGCACTATGGGGCGCTGTTATTTCTTTGTAAGTTTTTTTAACGTCATTCGGGCTATCTAATTATTGTTTCGAGTATTCCTTATTGATTACCTTATTAGACTCTTAGAGCATGTTGCAACATACGCGAATTCTCGCCGCCTCACTGCGCTATCGCCGGCCGTATTGGATGCTCTTCCTTAAGGGCGTGGATAACTGGCGCATTTACACCGTTATTCAGCAGCCCGACCATCAGCGCACGGAGATGCTCTACCAGGCCTGGCTCGGCGGCCTGGATCGCCCGTACGTGCGGCCGAAGTGCATGGCCCATCAGCCGCTGTGGCTCAGCAAGAAACGTCATATCTTGCAAAAGTCCAGGCTACAGGGGCCGGAGACGGCGATGGAGAAGTACGTGTTGGAATGGTATAGACGCTTCCATTCATTTCAAGGGACAGAGCGGCCCACGGCGGAGGATCTTCACATCGCGTTCGATCTCGTTGAGCGTCCGTTGGATCTTAGCTATGCATGTCAGTTGCTGCATCAGTGCCGTAATATCAACAACATTCGTTTTGACCACAATTCCTTTCTCATTTTCCTTGAGGCATGCCTACGTGTTGACCGGAAGGATTGTGCTCAGTACGCCTTGGAAAATGCGGAGGTTTTAGGGTTTTGGCACATTCATGACGACTGGCGCAAATACCTTGACGGCGAGCAATCGTGGTACCGTATTTCCCCGCTAGACGGCTTGTATTACCCATTGAACGAAAATAGTGAGCGGAATGCCACACGCATTCCACCAGCAGATGTGCCCGGAATGGAGTCCAGGAGTCTGACCATAGAAGACGCGCTGCCGACTCAAACAGCGACGGAGGCCACTCCTGCACAATCTACATTACCATCGGAAAGCAAAATGGAGGAAGAGCCGGTGGACGACGAGATCTTACGTCTACAGGCTGAGCTGGAGTCATTGGAAAGCGAAATATCAGTGGATAATGAAGCTGAAAAAATGCAAAAAGAGCCTAGTAACGATGGCGGGAAGACTGACAAAGGATAAAGGATTTCAGATACAAATTGCGGTATCTGTGAAGTCTCTGACGTTCTAAGGGTAAGTAGTTACACATAATATGTACACAGGCCATATCTTAACAAGTTTCTATGCCTGATAAGCTAAAACTATGTGGTTTCTTGATTATATCCCTAACGTAGTGATCAGACGGAGTGGCATAGTACATCATACTAAATGTAGGCTTCTTTGGATCGAGGTGGAGAAGGCAAGGTGATGATAGTACACTTGGGTAATGCCCTTCAAGACAAATTATCACGAATTCTAAGGTTCTTTTCAGTGAAAATACTCAAAAAGAAAGAAAGAAAGAATTGACCCCACTACTCAGATTTTTCTGACTAATTTTGGATCGAGGTTTTTATACGTAAATTTGTCTGCTTTTGGTGTGTGATGTTCTAATTTTCCAGTGATCTGCTATTTTTTTTCTTGTAATTCTTATATTTTAGGGTTTAATTTCCATTAATACGCTTTCTACCCCATTACTTTGGATAATTAACATTGACGGTATTAGGTTTAAATACGTATTCATCTACACAATCACCTAAACGTAACCTTTAAAAATGGTCTTTGCGCTATTGGAACTTCCGGCTGGTGTGGCTCTCTTCAAAATAGACGGGGGAAACCAAACGCTAAAAGCACTTCTACATTTCAAAAACACCGCAGATGCATTGGAGACGACGACCCGTATGGTCAACGGTGAACTTTCGAAACCGGTGCGCAAGTTTCTTAAGAAAAATTTTTTAGAGAAAGAAATCACCGAGGAGTTGGCGGTCGCGGACTCTAAGCTAGCCAAGGCCATTAAGGAGAACCTGTCTATTTCTTGTCTGCATGGTGACGACACCCTTCCAACCTTCCGCGCTCTGAAGGCGAACCTTGATGAACTACTCGAGGGGATTAACGCCGAGCAGCTCAAGCAGACCGCGCTAGGCTTGGCCCACAACCTAAACCGCTACAAGCTGAAGTTCTCACCAGATAAGGTCGACATGATGGTGGTACAGGCGGTCTCCCTTCTGGAGGATTTGGACAAAGAAATTAACAAGTACGCGATGCGGGCCCGTGAGTGGTATGGGTGGCACTTCCCCGAGCTCGGCAAAATCATCAAAGATAATGTGGTTTATGCCAAAATTATGCTTGCCATGAAGACTCGCTTTAACGCCCGCGACACCGACTTCTCGGATTTCCTCGAGGAGGATCTTGAAACAAAGGTGAAGGATGCTGCGATGGTGTCTATGGGCACTGAGATCGCCGAAGAAGATATCGAAAGCATCTTACGGCTCTGCCAAGAGGTCGTTTTCGCATCGAAGTACCGAGAGCAGCTTTCGGCGTATCTTTCTTCTCGAATGCAAACCATCGCGCCCAACCTTACGACGATGGTGGGAGAACAAATCGGTGCGCGGCTTATTCAAAAAGCAGGTTCGCTGCTGACGTTAGCAAAATACCCCTCTTCTACTGTGCAAATCCTTGGAGCCGAAAAGGCTTTGTTCCGCGCTCTAAAGCAGCGCCAGGCCACACCGAAGTACGGTATTCTTTACAACGCCTCCGTCGTAGCAAAGGCAAGTCCAGCTCAAAAAGGAACCATGTCTCGTGTGCTAGCCGCAAAGGCGTCGTTGAGCGCGCGTATTGATTCCTTTGGTGAGAGCGATAACAGTCCAGCCTTGGAATACCGTTCGAAGGTTGAGAACCGCTTGAAGCAGTTCGAGGAAGGCATTGCATTCGGTAAGAGCGGTAATGCACGCGGTGCGGGTGCTAATCTTCAAAAGCGCGCCAGTTTTGGTGGTGGTGCAGGGAATTCTTTCAAGCGACCGCGTGTGGAGAACAGAGGTTTTGTAAGAAACTGAGGAACGTACACAGGGTCTACGCTGTCCGTGTAGCATAACAGAGACAAAGAAAACTGGAATCTCCTTTTCACAGTATAAGTGCTCTTTTAATCGTTTTCATTTTCCAGGGTGATAATAGGTCAACCACTAAAGAAGTGCTGTGGTTCTCTTTGCTTCGTAGTGCTGCTGCACTCCCTTTTCCAGTTTGACCTCTTCATTTTATCATTATTATTAATCTGTGTAAAGTGAAGAATGTCTCCATCACAAATATCCATATGAAAAGGGTATGAACATTAGCATAGGGGTTTGAAAATTCCGAGTTGATGTGATCTCAGATTTTTTGGTATTCTCGTTCTCTATGTTCAAACTTAATCATATGGTTAATTTACAGTGACCGATCGGCAAGTTACTTCTACAGCTTGGTAAATTCAGTTGTGAAAAAATACCCTAAACAGAAATTTGCAGTCGTGTAATAATGTGTTTGAAGTTAAAACTGATAATTCATAATAAAAGAACATAAATATATCAGGTATCATTAATGCATACAATAGTGGCTACCTGTTTGTATATATATATATATATACCTGTATATATACATTTAGCCTCAAACTCCCACATAGTTCATGTGGCGAGTCAATCTGGAGCCGCCTTCTTGCAAATGGGGATCCGGAAGATTAGAAAAAAATGTTAAATGCTTGTGATCATTCAAATATTTTAACCACTTTTTTCCTTGCTCCAGACAATGTTTTCTATACACACATGAAGACGATATGATCAAAGCAGGTTTATCCATATTTGAGGATGTAATAGATCCATCTGTAAATCGTTTTATCCTCAACCTAATCTATCCAATCTTTAATCTTTCTGCTCTCTTATGACGGTGCATCTCCTTGAGTGGATGGAGTGGTTCCTTATACTACGAAAGCTTGGTTTGATCAAGGAATTTTGTCCACTCGACTTTAGTTTCTTAACCTCAGACAGCGTCATTGATCCTATTTCGAGTAGCTTCCAGATCGACTTCTATCTACCAGGTCCGAGGCCATACTGAACAGAGTGTGTTGGCATCTGGGTACTTTCGCGCGTCTAGTACACCCCGTTTGCACACTTTAACCTTGATAATTCGAAGGTATATATATACATATATACACACATGTATACATATATATATATATATATATATATATTAAACGGACGGTAGTGTGCCCGAGTCACGTGCTCGATGAGGTGACTCTCAGCGAGGGCTGTGGAGGAGAAAAGAAGAGGTGGGGTTCGTTCTAAGGGTAACCCCACCCAACCCGCCGGACGGGTTTTCACCGGTGTCCGAGTATTGCTAGCCCCATGTTCAACACAGCCCGTGTGCGAGCCTCCGTATGGTTTTTATGGCCTCTAACAGAGGCTTCCAATCTCTCTATGTCAGACTGGCCCGGTTGTGGCTTCACACGACACTGCGGGTGGTGCGCTACGGTGAGGCCAAAACGCAGATTTTCCCTATTTTAGAAGCCCTGAGCAAACACGGGAAGACAGGGTCATGAGGGGTCAAACAGGCCGTAGGAGAGGTTGGGCGTGTTATTCGTACCTGTGGGAATACCGTGAGACTAAGTGAAAGACGGATAAACGAATTTCGCTTTCCGATTCTATGCCATCTATGGACTTGCAGGGTGTTGAAGACCTTACCATTGATTTCTTTCTCTAGCGTTGCCATGGCGACATGGTTTTTATTAGCCGGCGTCGCCAGCATCAGAGTAACCTGCGTGTGGACTTGAAAAGCGACGATGAACCTGCATCTTCAATTTTTTAAATCGCACAAATGCGAGTACTGTGCTAATGACAATCTTCACCAAGCTGGGAGACCTTTTCAAATTGGGAGATTGTTCAATCAAGAGGATAGGCTAATATTGGTTCGTTTGTTTAGTGTCTTAAGGGGTCTCTGACGAGGTCAATGCCGTATGGTGTTTGACATAAAATAAAAATAGTGGTTTGTTTCAGGTTGGTTACCACATTCGGCTCCTAATTAACACTAGTGTCAAGCTCACAGGCTATTTTGACAGAATTCACGGTAAAAAGTCTCGTAGACCTCCTCTTTTTTCCCTTTCCTATGTAAACATATGCAGCAGTTTCTTCCGAAGCTTTTGTGTTCTCAAATCAATTTAATAGAAAATGATAGACTCGTTCATTTCTACTTATAAAGTCAATGCTATTTGCGTTGAAGCCACGCCACTGGAGAAGTCAAACACAGGTGATGGTAATTGAAAGGATCTTTTTTTTTGAGTGTTAGCGACTTCATTCCTGATTTTGTCTCAGAATTAATAAAATCTTCAGACAAAAAGGAGCCACGGTAGTACACAGGGGAAGGTAAAGGATTACTTTCATACAAAGAAAGAAATTATAAATGTATTGCTATCCTCTTTAGATTTTTTTACTCACTTATATCTTTTAATTTTATATCCACTTCTCAGCGTAGGCGGCTAAAGTTTAAGTACTCAGACACATAACACTGTATGACTCACACGCAACAAGGGAGGCAACAAAATAGGTAATATAAACACTAGAACAGAAAACGTTTCAAAAAACAACAACTTGTTAATGCCTGAGCGTCGATCGCTCGGATTTGATGAATCCGCTAAGCCGCTTCGCACTCTTCAACGTTCTCTTTTTCAGACAGTCGCTCAGTGTGTTAGGGGACCTCAGGCTAACGGCAGCAGCTCTATCACGCCCCAGCCGCCGGCCACGGATCCAGAGGAGGGGAAAGAGTGCAGCGACACCTGTAGTTTCCTCCTCAGACGTGAGTTTACGAGCCATATTGAACATGCGTGCGGCGGATTGCCCAAGGAAGGATCTGACGTGATCCCTCAGGCGGGTACCGCCATAGGTAGTGCGCCACTCTTTACTATGGACGACATGCTTAGGGCGCTTTGGTTGCTCATCAGTCGGCAAAATTTAGCGCTCGAACACCTCCAAAACGGTATCATTCAGGCCCGTCTGGCGGAAGACAAGAAGCGAAGGTCCCCACTGCGAACCAGCCCCCACCTCGAAGAGGGGAGTGTAAGCGATACGGACCCGAATGTCAAGGAGGCCGCCTCGGATATGGAGGAATGTCTCGAAAACACCATCGTTGCCACCGTTTTGCAATCACTGCTCGCGCCAGCGCAGTCTCGTTGGCAAGAATTTTTGCGAAATCGCATTAACAAGCAGCGTGAATTAGACTCCAACACCGAGAAGTCTGAAAAGACAGTGGTTAATAAAGTGCAGCCAACTTGTATTGGTCTTCCTACCAAAGATGAGCTTTTGCAGTGCCTTCTGGAGGAGTTGAATAATGAGGCGACCCAGCTTCTCGTGATAAATACGTGGGGTATTGAAGTGTGCGATAGTGGTATTGATCCCTATGGCCTAACAACGGTTTTCCCCCCCCACATTCAGGTGCTCGCGCAGTATCCCAACATTGTTCCCGGCCTGCAGCGGTTGAAGCGGTACTTTTTGGATCTCCATCCCCAATTCACATCGAGTACGATGAACCAGGCAAGTCGGGGTTGTTTGATGGACCCTTCTCTCATGATTGCCGAGCACCAGCTAGATCGTTTTTTGCAGGATAAGGATAATATGGCCACCGCGGCTATTTTACGCGAAGGAGTGCACCCTTTTTTACGCCGAATTGTCTACGCACGGGCTCTTGGCCTACGTCTGTCCGTCCGGGAGGGCGATTCGATCTGGGGTTCGATGGACCATCGGTCGGCGGTCTTGCTCCCGGCTTGCTTGAGCTTCGCGACCTCGGACGCGCGTGGGATAATGAGCCCGGGCCACGCCCATTTCGCCCCTTCCAAAACCCCCAAAGATGATGCCGGGATCGTGCAGGCTTTTCTACGTCAGGACGTCCTCCTGTCTGTCGGGGATAGCGATAATTATTTCACTTTTGTCGACGACGTCGAGGGGTTGGCCGCGGCGATGGGGGTGGACCGACGGCTGCCGAACGTCGCGATCCCGCAAACGCTCACGCAGTTGGGGCGGGCCGATGACTCGTACGGGGAGGGGCTGGACGGCTATACCCTGCGCCTTTCACCGCGTGAGGGCAGGTCGGGGCCGACGCCTTCGCCTCGTATTTTATTCCCGTTAGAGCTATCGAGCCTGCTGATCGCGCCCTTCGGAAACATCACCGGCGATATTGTCGAGCAGTACGAACTATTTACGGCGATGTTTAGTCAGTTGTGGGTGCGTCTTCAGGGGCCCACACCGGAGCTCTTTCAGTGTTGTCTTATTTTTGAGAATTTGCTGGCCGAGTGCGCGCCATCGGCGGCGATCTACGCGGCGCACCTCCTGGAGGGCTCCCCATTAATCTTTTTATTGTCGTGGATGTCCGACGGCTTTGCAGGGGTGTTGGACCCTACCGACGTCCTCCTGCTCTGGGATTGGCTGCTCGCATACCACATAAAGGAAATGCAGCGCCGTAGTCTTCTTTCAAGCACGACCGGCCTGGCCTCTTCTCTGAGTGAATATACTGAAGAAATCGAAAATGGGAATGAGAATGATTGTAAAAACCTTCCGCCGTGTGCCCTGTGGTTGTTACCCATCCTGGCAGCGAGTATATTTATTTTCCGCGCACCGCTGATTCTTAAATGTGAATCTCGAAACGAGCTGGAGTCTCTTTTTGTCTCTGGGCGACATATACACTGCCGAACTCTCATTCAATCACTGCTTTTTACAGAAATGCTTGGCTAAAAAAAAAAAGGAAACCGCTATGGTATATGTACAAAATGGCATTAGGGCTATACACGAGGAAATTAACGCGATTTGTCAGTCTTGAATGGTTGCGGATGGGTTGAACGAGTTCTAAAAACAGCTTTCCAATGAGAACCACACCTCCCTATGGAGTTGTGTTGATCTCATTCACCCTTTCTTTGCATATTTTATCCTTTTTTTTTCTTTCGAGTTAGTTTACGGTTGGTTGTTTAGTAGTCGTTCTCTATATACGAGGGCAGGGGGACGGTCATGGTCCATGAAAATGGCCGCGATGGCTTTTTCGACAATTCGGACGACAACCGCCTGAACGCAATCCAAAGCCTCCGACGTGCCGTTCGCGAGCAGGAGATTTACGTTTCTCAATTAGAAGAGCGCAAGACAATACGGGGCCGGCTTCTCCATCAACTCACCTGTACTCTTAGACAATTAAACTTCGACGCCTCAACCAATATGGAGAAGGGGATCGGGGTTGAGGATGGGGTGTGTAATTGCGACCCTGAAACGAACATCCCAACCGAAAATGAAATTCTGGGAGACGCAAAACCGAAATCTCCCGAAATAAATTCTTCAAGGCTGATATTCAGCGATATGGTTCATATCCAATTATCCGCATTGGATGAAGACAACAGGTGGGGGCAGGAGGAAGGGTCGTTGTTGTCCGCACGTGCACCCATCGACACTTTATTGGGGGTTTCTCAGGACAGAGAGATAAATATTAAACCACAAAATAAGAGACGAAAAAAAAGAAAAAATGGACAGGGTGCGGTTAAACTCGACCGCGGCTCCAAATCCGTGGAGATTCTAAGACGGATAAAAGTGAAGGATGAGAAAGATCGTGAGGAGCTGTTTAAAGGATTGGAGCGGGTGATTGAGGAAAATCCTCAGACGTTCTCTTCGGTAAGCGGCGTTATTTCTGTTCAACCCCCGTGGCTGACGGATTCGGAGGAAATCGATACCGCAGATTTTGAAGGAGCCAAGGAGAAGAACCTGAAGGGCATAGATGATTACTCGGACGACTTTGAAGATGACTAAAATCCTAGTATGAGGTACAAAAGAAGGTACGTAAAACACAATACTTGGCCATCGTTATACACATCTTTGTGAGTAAAAAAAAAAAGGTCTCTCAATTTGTGTTCCTCTGCATTCGTTTTTTCCATTGCACAGTTTTGATTTCTTGTTTGTATTTTATAATAATAATACTTCGTTCAGATCGGTTAATTAGCACTTATATAGTCAGATTAACTAAGACAAGAGGGCCCTACTTGTGTTTTTGGTGTTATTTTTTAAATCATTTTTTGGCATGGATAATTAAAATATATATATATAAAAATACGCACAGCATATACACACGGACATATGGTCTACCGTAGTGTAGATCCTTTCTTCATTCTCTTTGAATCTATCAATTACCGGCATCATAATTAACTACTGGACTCGATTACCCGTTCAACTTCTTCTCGACATTGATGGTGGTACTCTTCTGATTCCTCCTCGTCAAACGCGACTGTGTGAGTTAAAAATATGAGTCTACGCCGTACAGACGACTCGATGATTACACACGAAAATGCGGTTCACTTATATCCATTCAATGTAAAATACTTCCCGTATTTGTGAAATGAAATTGCGCAGACGCACTTTGTAGAGTTGCCGTCATTTCTTCTCGAGTGTTCTTCCCAATGGCGGGTTCACCGTCGACTCTACTTATTTCTACTAATGATATCTTTTCTACGATCCCAATTCAATGCCGTGCGTTTAGTGGATTTTGGACCTACGAAAGCGGTCTTTTTTTTTGACCTCATCTTCAGGGGAGAACACCGCCTAGGACATGATAACATCCATATAAATATCAAACTCTTTCTTAACGACTCAGGCGTCTCTCTTTGATGAACACAGCGTGGATCTCAGGAGGCCAAAGGTGGAGGAAATCGGTGTGGGTTGTCGATTATCCTTTTTTCATCGTGTTTGTTGACAAGATTGTGGATAATTTCATTTCTTTGGAACCTTAGACGAGGCGGTGCGTGTTTGCGTTCACTTTATCGGTTAAAGCTGAGGAAATAACCAAAGTGTTTGCACGCAGCAGTGCCGTCCAAGAATCTTTTCACAGGGATCAATAGTCAAAGAATAAGAGTTTCGAGAATGCATGAGACAACAAGCTTACGGGGGGGGAGCAGTGGGGGTCGTCGCTTTCACCTTTTCTCCGAGTTTGTTCACGCATGTGGTGAGCGTAACCCAACGTTTGACGTGAGAACTGCATTCTGCAGCTCTTCTCTCTCTCTCCCTTTTATATAAATATATCTATATCTATATCTATATATATGTATGCTAAACCGTGCATTGTTTCATACACCACAATTTGTGCAAATTAAACAGATCCCACCATGGGGTCTTACTTGACTAGGGGATTTTCCGGGTTCCCATGGCGCTCTAACATGTGCAGACTTCCTTTTTTCCTTTTTTGTCTACAAGGTGCATCCAATGGAGTTCTTTAATAATAACAACCCCCGCGAGGACGCCGTCTTCACCTCGAAGGTCAAGTGGGTGCTGCTGCGAGGGGACAACGGGGTGCGGGCGCTGCGAGAGTTCTACGCGCGCGATGCCGCCGCCCGCCAGGCCGGCCGGGAGGGGCTGAATTACGACGACTTCGCTGCCTTCCTCGCCGACGGCGGGGTGCGGCTGAGCGCTTTTGAGCTGGACTACCTCTGCCGATCCTTCGACGACGGCAAAAACGGCCTCATCGCCCCCGCGCGGTTTGTTGGGCATTTGACCGGGATGAACTACCGCCGGGCGAGGGCGGTGGAGCGGGCCTGGGAGGGGCTCGCCAAGGACGAAAGCGGCCACGTGCGGTGTGCGAATTTGGTGGAAACCCTCCGGCGCGTTCAGGAAAAGCGCTGGGACGAAAGCAGCGGGGCGGGATCGAATGCGGGGCCAAACCCCATGGCGGCCTCCTATGATAGCACCTTTCTCGGTACGGCAACCTCCACATCGAGGGGGAGTGGGGCGGGGGGGGGGAAGGATCATTTTGCGCGTAGTTTCGGGGGTGTAATTGCGATGGATGGCGCGTCGACCGAGCGCAATCAGGGCCTGATCGATTCACTTAGTAAGGGGGAGTTTGTGGGCTTCTACTCCGGCATTTCGCAGTGCATCCACACGGACGAGACCTTCGAAGTGGCCGTTCTGCAGGATTGGGAGGCCGATGACGCGTGTCGGCCGACGTTAAACGAGACCGCGCGTGATTGGGGTGATGGGGGGGATCCCTTGGCCGATCACGGCCCGCGTTATGTCCGAGATGCGCTCAACATGACTCTCGGGATCCCCACCGCGTCGTATAATTATTCGCCGATGAAGCGTATACACCCGTATGTCGAGCCCTTGCCTCCCCTCAACCGAGAGGATCTCATGCGGACGACGTGCAATCTGAACTATGGGTTCTACACAAAAAATGAATACCGGTCTGCCGATCCCCTGGCAACCCGACGCGGACAATCCATGTAGGCAGTCCGATATAGGAATGATAAATTATAGCATGAATAACCATATGTATAGTATGTGCAATGTTTTGCATTTACTTGGATTTCGATCATAGTAATTACGGCTGTATGCGTCTATATACACAAGGGCATGAGCTTTTCACGTTGCGACCCAACACTTTAGAGTCTCTAAAACGTTGTATGTAGCTTTCTTTTTGACTCCTTTTTTTTCGATGCATCTTCCCCCTACCACGCGGTGGAGGCTTCTCAAGAGCCCTTTTTCCAACCCACCAGCGCTCAACTCCTTTTATTCTTATTTTTTTCCCCACAGGATTGACTTTTCCCCCAACTACAACCCCAACAACCGCTCCTCGGCCCTGCCACGCCACAG